AGGGCCAGCTTCCCTCTGTGGGGGCCCTGTCTGCAGACAGGCTGAGGGATGGAAACTCCACATCACCTTCTGGAAACTTGGGGCAAGGCGGGTGCATCGTGAATAACTCACCCCCTCCCCATTTCCTCTCAGAGCCCTCCTGGCCCCAGGCCTCTGGCTTCTTCCCCAGAACCTGGGGTGGGGGAAGGGACACCCATCTCTGGGCTAAACGTTTCTCTCCACCCATCTGGGTTCCTCCTCGCCTCCGTCTCCCACTTCCATGCATGTCTGCTCTCCCCCCCCCCCAACTTTATCTGTCAGGGAATGTCTCTTTCATCCTCTGTAAGCCTCCATCTTTCTCTCCTGTTTCTGTCCCCATGTCTGTCTTCCATGTCTGTGTGTCTCTCCCCGCCTCTTTGTCTCTTTTTCCACATGTCTCTCATCTCCCTGTTTCTGTCTCTTGGACTCTCTCTCCCTTCTGTCATTCCTCCCTGTGACTTGTGAGGTTTCTTCTCTGTCTGCTGCCAGCTCTGGTGGGGGGCTGAGGGGCCCAGTGTGGAGGCTCCCGCCCCCCCACAACTCAGAGCCTAGCCTGGCAACCTCCCTCAGATCCGGGACGACCATTTCCTTTCTCAGCCCTGGCGTCCACTCAGGTTACGAGTTCAGGACGTTGTGAACTGGGGGAAGGAGAGAGCTCCCCTAGTGAATGTCTGCTCTGCTCGTCGGTGAGGCTTTCGTACAGGTCGGGGACCCTGGGCCAGGGGGTCCTGGACTCCATGTGAGTCTCATTCCTCTGAGAGATGACTGTGTGGTTGCTTCGCCTGCTTTGTGTAGCTGTGTGAGAACATGACGGCATGTGGAGGACAAACGGAAACACTTGCGCTGTGGCCAGCAGGCATCCGGGTCTTGCAGCGTACCTGCTGTGTGTCTCTGTGCTCGCTGGTGTGTGACGGCTTGGACCTGCATGTGTGTGTCTGACCCACTGCGACAGATAGCCTCAGTCCGTATGGTGTTTTCCTGTAAGTCATGGTGTGTGGGGCTATTCTGAACGCACAGTTGCTGCCCGGATTTGTGTTCAGTTGTGTCTTTATATGTATGTTGCCAGATAAAGTCCCCAGTGGAAACGGTCATGTGCCTGCTGCTCCCCAAAAGGCTAGTGGTTAAGAGTCCACACAAAATTCTAAAGGCCTGCTTCCAAAAAGTTAGCCCTTGAAAACCCTACGGAGCAGATTCTACTCTGATACACATGGGGCCGCCATGAGTAGGAAGTCACTTGACAATCACACACACACACACACACACACACAGGTTCTGAGGGTTCTTGCTGGATCCCCAACTGTCTTTGCTATTCTGTTCAGTGGTTTGCCTGTCCCCTTGGGTATGTGTGTCTTTGCGTCTGCACGGTTATGTGTGTGTGTGTGTCCCTACGTCATACGCATGTGAGCTGTGGGACCAAGCTACCCAGGCTGAATCGCACTGTGCTCCCTTTCTGGCTGTGTGACAACGGGCAAGTCGCTCACTCTTTTGCGCCTCAGTTTCCTCTGCTGTAAAATGGGGCTCAGCTGGCACAAATTAGATAAAAAGTATTATGAATTTAGAGCCCGACACATATGTAAGTGCCCACTCGTGTTCGCTCTCGTTCCCTGTGTGGGCTGTCAGGCGGTGTTTGGGACTGGGATCCTGCCCATGTGCCCGGCTGGGCCTGCAGCGTCCCACGCTCTGCGCTCTGCCTGAGGGGAATGGCCAGGGCACTGACCTGTGTTATCAGGCTCTGGTGGTCTGGCGATTCTGCCTCAGTTCTCATGCAAGGAATACTAAATATTTACAGTTGGGGCTCCTGGGCCGAGCACCACTGCTCCAGTCCCAGGCACTGGGGTAGAGGGGGAGTGGAAGGGTTACCAAGCCTCCTCCTTCCTTCCCTCCCACTGGCTGCCTCCCTTCCCCAGCTCAGAGGCCCCTGTGGACCCTCAGCTCCTCCTCAGCCTTCCTGTGCCTGCTTGGAGCCTCGCTAGACTCAGGGCCTTGGGCGTGAAAGGTGAGAGGGCAGGGGGCAGGCGGGGCTGATGCTGTCAGGGGACCCTGGCCTTGGCTTAACTGGGGGGTTCTCAGCCCTCCTCCTCACCCCCAGGCTGAGGGCAAGAAAGGTAGCAGGTGTTAGTAGGGATCAGTGTGTAGCAGGGAGCCTGGTGTCTGGGTGGGGGCAAGCAGAGGACCTCGCCCTGCCCTGCTAGTAGTGTGTGTACAGCGGTGAATAGGGCCTTTTCCAGCTCAGAAAGCTCCCCGGCTCCCACTTTATAAGTGCAAAAGCCTGACTCCTCCCCAAGGCCCTGCATGATGGGCCCGCTCTGGCTCTCCCCCTCTTTCTGCTCCAGCCCCAGGGGCCTCCTCCTTGACCCTGGAGCACATCAAGCAAGGCTGTACCTCGGGACCTTTGTTTCTTCTGCCTGCAACATGCTGTCCCTTCCTTTGGGTCTTTGCTCAAATGTCACCTTCTCTGGAGCCCTTTCCTGACCCCTCTATTTGAAGTCCCTTACCCTGGGACCCCTCCCCTTCCCTGGTTTATTTCCCTCCTAAGCATTTATGAGTCGGAAAACGACTCAATGGCAGTTGAATTTGTTTTTTTGGGGAAAGAATTTATCACTCTCTGACCTACCTGCCTACTGGCTGTTTTCTCAAGCAGGATTTCAGCTCCAAGAGGGTGGGTTTTTTGATTATCTTGGTCACAGCTGTGTCACCACTGTCTGGAACAGGTCCTGGCACGCAGTAGGTGCTCACTGTGTGACTGAGAGAGGTGTGTGACAGTAAAGAAGCCTGGGGACGTGCCTGCGTGGATGCCAGGGAGTGTGGGTGTGGGGATGGTGGAACTTGGGGCAGGCAGGGTGCTGTGTGGACACGTGGAACATGTCACGTGAGTTGCCAGGTGCATGTGTGGACACGGGCACGGGTTTACAGGTCTGAGAAGCTGCATGTGGACCCTGGTGTGTTCACGCACACAGGCTATGGGGGGACCTGTGTGTGGACCCTGCAGGGTAGGGGTGGACCGCCATGAGTATACACCCTTGAGGGAGGACACTGGTGTGAGAGCAGGAACACTGGGCATGGGGCAAGAGTGCATCCATTCACCTAATACTTATTGAGCACCTACTACATGGTTAATAGAGAGCATTGTGAGGCTGGAGCAGGACTGGGCAGTGTTTTGTTCTGCTGTACACAGGGTCGCTATGAGTTGGAGCCACTCGAGGGCACCTAACAACAACAGTGTATGCCACGCCCTACTTTAGGGCCTGGGGACAGAGCAGAGAACCAAAGCCACAGGCCCTGATATGTACATGTATTTTTTGAATGGGAAAGGATTTATTCCAGAGTATGACGAATAGGCAACAACAATGACAACAGCTAACCTTTATTGAGCATTTACTATGTGGTGTAGTGCTAACTATTAAGCACTCAGTTACTAACCAAAAAGCTGGCTACTGAAAGCCCAGAAGCAGCTTCAGAGACAGGCCTGGCTATTTGCTTCTGAAAGTTCATAGCCTTGAAACCCTGTGGAGCAGTTCTACTGTGCACACGCTGTCTTCATGCCTTGGAATTGACTAAAGAGAAACTAACAAACAACAGTAACTAACCCAAAGGTTGCCAGTTCGAAACCACCCAAGGGCACGTGCCCTGCCTTCATTGTCACACACCTCCCTCATTCACACAATCAGCAAGTTTAATTTTTGTGAAGAGCTCCAGGCTAAAGACACTGCAAGTCCAAAGGCCCTAAGGCAGAGTGTCTGAGGAACACCAGGGAGGCCAGTGTGGCTGCAGAGAGAGAGAGAGTGAGCGAGCAAGGGGGAGAGTGGGAGATGAAGGCAAGGAGGTGGCCAGGCTGGTCATAAAGGGCCTGTGGCCACAGGAGGACTTGGGCTTTTTTTCTGAGCGAGGTGGGAGTCATGGAGGGCTGTGGGCAGAGGAGGGATGAGACCAGATTCAGGGGTTCACAGGTGCCCCCAGGGTCTGTGGCGAGGACAGACTACGGGGGTCAGAGGTAGGGAGTGGGGGAGGCGAGGGCAGGAACTGGGAGACCTGGGAGGAAACCGCTGTAGGAAAATCCAAGTGGTGTCTTCAGCTGGGAGGGTAGGGTGAAGGGGGGGTCATCAAGGAATTCAGAGTCTAAACAGAAGAGCCCACAGGCCCGACTGATGGGCTGGATCTGTAATGAAGGTGGCCGCAGAGGATGGAGCAGCCAGCCATGTTGGAGACAAATGGGAAGCTCAGTGAGATTGTCCCCCACCCCACCCCACCCCCTCCCAGCCATTCTCCTCCTGCTTCTGCTCCAACCTCATCCACAGTCGTCTCAGGAGGGCCTTTGCACGGACTGTTCCCCCTGCCTGGGACGCTCCTCTCCCTGCGATCCTCATGACTTCCTCCCTGACCTCCTCAGGTCTTAGTTCTAATGTCATCTCCTCAAGGAGGCCTGCCCTGTTTCCACCCCCCTCCTCTCAAATGCCTTGCTCCTGCCTTACTGTTATTTTTAGCACTTTTTTTTTTTTTTTAAATAATTGTGATTTGGGTGAAACTTTACAGAGCAAATTCACTTTCCATACAGCAGCTCACATACTTTGTCTCATGACATTGACTACAATTTACTACAATTATTTTTAGCACTTAGTTTTTGTATTCTGTTTTACCTGTTTATCTGGTTTCTTGCCCACCAGGGCCCGGATTTTTGCCTGGTGTGTTGCTGATTGCATTCCAGAGCTTAGAACAGAGATCAGCATACAGTAAGCACGGAAAGAATGCTTGTTGAATGGATACACAACACTTGCGAGACAGGCTGTAACTAACTGGAGAGGCCCAGGCGGGATACCATTGGGCCATCTCCACTCAATGGGGAAACGAACTGGAGGCAACACTCGGGGGCCACACGATAATTCCCGCGCGTGAGCACATGGGTTTGGCCTGGCCCGAGAGTCGGGGCGAGTTTGGACTCCCGGGTCCCACCTTCTGCTTGCTCCTTCTCTGCCTCTAGGTCAACCATGCTGGCGCCCCGGCTGCGCGCGCTTCAGCTGCTGCTCCTGCTGGGCGCGTCGTGGGCGCAGGCGGGCGCCCCGCGCTGCACGTACACTTTCGTGCTGCCGCAGCAGAAGTTCAGTGGCGCGGTATGTTGGAGTGGGCCTGCAGCCTGGCGGCCGACGCCCGAGGCGGTGAACGCCAGCGAGGTAGCCGCGCTGCGCGTGCGCGTGGGCCGCCACGAGGAGCTGCTGCGCGAGCTGCAGCGGCTGGCAGCGGCCGATGGCGCTGTGGCCGGCGAGGTGCGCGCTCTCCGCAAGGAGAGCCGCGGCCTCAGCGCGCGTCTGGGACAGCTGCGCGCGCAGCTGCAACACGAGGCTGGTCCGGGGGCGGGCCCGGGCCCGGGGGCGGAGCCCGCCGCAGCCCTGGCACTGCTCGGCGAGCGCGTGCTCAACGCGTCGGCCGAGGCACAGCGTGCCGCCGCCCGCTTCCACGAGCTGGACGTCAAGTTCCGTGAGCTGGCGCAGCTGGTCAGTCAGCAGAGCGGCCTCATCTCCCGCCTGGAGCGCCTGTGCCCGGGGGGCATAGGCGGGCAACAGCAGGTAATCCCAAAGTCCTGGGAATCTTAGTCATTTCCCACATGTATTATCTATTGAATGGGCCTCTTAT